ATTAGAGCTATCGCTCGAAACCCAAATATCGACTTACAATCAATAGGAATATATTCAAAATCCGATATTCAACATCACATTAGAACACACCAATTCCAAGAATTATTAACACAAATGGACACTATACAAAGACAATCAATTGACCAAAACTTACGCAAACTTGCCGAAACCGCAGGATTTGCAGACATCTATACGCAAGACTATAGCGGATATTTTAAAGACATTAAAGACTATATATATCTAAACGGTGAAAAATACCGTCCCCAAGATATATCATCTATCAATATTTTTAGCTTTGTTACACTCAAAAATGAAATTCTCGATTTTCTAGGATGGCCCTACTACATCTTAGAAAAATTAACTATTTTATACGCAATGTTTAACTTTATAGGATTTCTTTTTTCACTCTTAAAAGGAATCTACAACACATGTGCTATACACACACAAGTAAACAGACAAGCAAGTGTAGCACGCATACTATTTGCAGGATTTTTCGGAATTTTTTCTACATCAATAAACAAAATTCTTTTAGACGCACAAATAAAAGAATATAACACAAAAATAGCAACAAGACAACACATACGACGAAGAACATAACAATGTAGACACAACGCCTACAGCACCACAGTTACCACCCCTACCACATAACCATCCACTATCCCTAGTCCCACGAAATTTTCGAAATTTAGCAATAACACATAATCCAAATTTTAGACCAACCATATCACAAAGTCCCATCCAACATATAATGACACACTATTCACAAGATAAAAATACTTATGAACAAGTTATAGAACAACCCCATACCACCGCTTTTCAGTCTCAAAATAATAATTTTTTTAGCCCACGATGAGCCGACTACTTGGATCCCTACACCGCTCAAATTCCCACCCAACCAACCTAACCACTCCAATTACAATAATTCCACTTTTTGCTTTCCCGCCACCCGATTTCCCAACCATTAATGTAACATCAGGCATGAATTCAGATACTAATTCACAAATCTCAGTTTTATACTCCACTTCACAACTCAATAATCCGAATATTGAAACCCCCGATGAATTTGCCGACTCTGAACCATCTCCATCCAATAATTTTCACACCAATCCCTCAATTTTTTCCCAACCCCCTTTTCAACCAATACTACCAAATAACCCTGTCCCAACCAATTCTACACCCTCTTATGCTTCCCAAGTCACTCCAACCTACTCTTCACTTCATTCAGACCGATCATCCAATTCTCCAGATACCCCCCAAATCTCCCCAGAACTAGATAATTTTATTACCCTACAACAACAACCCTACCACCTTGACACCCCCACTATAAACCAAATTTCATCCACAATAGATTCATCCAACCCACCTACCCCTACACCCTCTTCAGTTTATACCGAATCATTAGCACCATCATCCACATCTACTGAATCTTCACTCAGCACTGATAGAGCTTATCGCACTTTTAAGAGAAAGTTCCCAAACCATCCTTTCCCAACAAAACCAGGAACAGCCCGTGAATATATAAATCATCCAAATCACACTAACACGAAAGAATTTTTAGCTATCACCTTACCCTCATTTCCACAATATACCTTAAACACCCCTCACGACACTAACGACACACGTAGTTTTGTAGATGAACACGTTTTAATGCCTACCCTTCCTTGGACCTCATATTATCATTTTACTAATCCCCTTTGCCTACCTTTATCTAACACTCACATCGATATAGAATGAAATAAAGACATGCTATATCGACTCACTACACCACTAACACATAGACAATTTACTTACATAGGATATAAAAAGTCACTAAAAACATACACTGCACCCCGAGCTAACGAATATACGCTAGAATATTACGATCATAACATCATCCGAACAATTTTTGGATGATGATCGCTTCGCTAACCCGCAAATCACAGAAAAATTTTTCATTAAAACACCATATGTATTTACACTCAATATCTTTGATCGCAAATTTGACCACATCATTTCAGAAGCACTAACAGACACACAAGCTTACGAAAGTTTTAAAGAACGCTTTCAATTATTTTCACTAACCTTTCATTTCCTTGCACCACATGAACGAGATTTGCACTGCTCACACGATATTATGTTACGCACTAAACAAACTCACACATATACATATTATCGTTTTATACAAAATCACTTCGACCTACACACTCCCTCCAGACAGCCACACCACCGTTTTCAATTCATCAATTCCAAATACACCTCACCATTCTTTCTTAACTTCACATATTGCATTAAAGATACTAACCTTCATGCTATTCTTCGAAATTACGACCCCATAACCCAAATGTATATTTTTTGTCCCATCACGAAGACCTTCAACGCAGAAGAATCCCGACCCTTCCTCGCAGAAAATATCATCCGCATCTTAGCAAAATTACTAACAACTTCCGACCTCATCCACGACATCTTCCCCCACGGTTTCTTCCCCGACGACTAACAGGTAAGTATGAATTATAAACCTTATTAACTATTAAATTAAAATTAAAACTAACCATTCTTTATCCATGTCTTCTTTAGAATTTTAGCCTTCATCCAACGATCATCTGAAAAATTCACAAAAGAAAAATAAAAAATAGAAAACTTCTTCAAACTGTTTAAAACTCTATTAATTTTTTGCACCAAACAATTAAATAAAAATAATACCAATGCAGTAATTTAATTTATAAATTTTTTCCCCCACAAGCAGTAAATCTAATAATGATGAAAATTTGTAACTTAATTTTTCCCAACAACTAGCAATAAATTTGAATTTCTATGTAATAAATTAATAAAACGAAAATGCAGTACTAACCTTTTGATATTTCCATTCATTCGCACAAAAATTCTATCCACACTCGCACAGCTCGCCCACGAAGAATTGTTTAAAATAATGAATTTCAGTTTCAAGCTTTCACACTCAACAACTCTAACACAAGATAACACGTTTCAAACTTTCCTTTAACCCGGTTGGAAAGGAATTATATACTAAACAACACTAACCAACGCAGCTTACTAAACACCACAAATCATAGAATAACAGCATGACTAAGAAAAGGAAACCAACGGTACCCAAACCGGATTAACCCAGTTTAAAACTGGATAATTTATTCTTTTGAAGACTATTATAAAGTCTAAGAAAGAAATAATAAAACACAAAAAAGTCGAAAGACAAACCCATACCACAAACAATTTGATTTTTGAAAAAAGGACACAACCAACAAAACATAAGAAAAACCACAACAAACCCAACATAAAACGTTATCACATAACAGGACCTCTCACAAACACCGCACTCCTGGCCTAACCCACCAGAAGAGGACGTTCTGAGCATGCTCTATAGCCGGCCTAACCCACCGTGCTACATCCACGCTTTGTGACCACACTCCTATTTTTAATAAGAGCTACTCAAGGGTGAGTAACTCTTCAAAATAACTGAACTAAAACAAAAAGCTTTTGTGAAAACAACTAACCAAAATCATAATTAAAAAACATTAAACTAATAAAAGTTTTATAAAATGTAAATTATATTATGCAATATATAGATCAGCATACAACACCAAGGACGAACATCCAAAGACAAAACGACCCCACTACACTCGAAAAAGAATGGCCAACCACAATCGATATGCCGCTCACAATCACAACTCAAAGGATTTAGAGTACGACTTGACTTCGTAAAAAAGGACTTCATTGAACTAGACCAATGACCACCTCGATGTTCAAGTATACGTACAGATCCGAGTAACCAGGCATCCCCTCCACGCACAATCTCCACGCCATTCCCAGACAAGGTCAAACACAAAAGAAGTTCTCTACATGAAACGGAAAAACCTGTCATAGCAAACCATTCTGAAATCAGATTTGAGTTTGTTGCGAAAACACAGTCGTTGTCACAAGAAGACACAACGTTTGATGTCCCTAATTCCAGCGTTCTGGAACTTCTCTAACAAGAGAAACCGGAAAAGAAATATGATGTTCGCCAAATACCAACGTCCATCATCCATCCTTCGAATTGCAGAAAAACTATTCTAAAAAACTCTGTAAAACCCGGATGGGTGGAACCTGATCTAAACTACATTTTATGATTGGATAAATTAGATATTTTACCAATGTAAAGTATTTAATATTAACCAATCATGATCCATCTGACTAACAATCCACTTATTTGTAAGTGCTGAAATTACTTGTAATTTCAGCACCAGAGAGATTTGAATTTAACTTAGAAATTAGTTGGACTCTCCGAGAGAACTTCAGCAGCCGCAATAAACCAGTATACCCTAGATCTATTGAGCCTAGCAGAGACTAGTTAAACAACCTGAGACTAGATAGTATAAGAGTAAGAAGTTGCACGAATCTATCCGGCCGAAAATAAGATAGCGTGACGAGCAGACGGTGTACCCTATCCGAAATTACTCTATGAGTTAACCACAAAGGACCTAACTCAAAACGTAACGTAAAAATCTCAACTTTCGAAGAAAAAAATAGATAACTTTAACGTTTACTGAAGTTCTAGAACAAATCATGTTTGAAAATTTTGATGAAAAAACCCAATCTGAGGAAAACTGGGTCAATAGGAGAAAAAAAAATGTTATTTCGCTAGAAAATCTGATCATGAAAACCCATTTTCAAAATCAGAATTTGAGGACGTTTTTCGGGACCTTTACACTGAACTACATTTCTAAACTACATTTCTAACCAAATAAATCAAGAAGTAAACAGTCAAATTTGAAAATGATCAAAATTTATTACTTAGTTCTGCGCAAAAAAGAAATTTTCATGACATAAAAGTGTCTTCACTACGTCCAATGCGACTCCATAAGTGTCTTCACTGCGTTCATTGACACTTGATAAAAGTCTTCACTACGTTCTTTGACACTTGATAAGTATCTTCATTACGTTTTTTGAAAGACTGCTTAATACTTCTTCATTTAATTTCTGTAGACCTACTTGCCTAAGTGTGTTAGGTAAATTTTAAGCAGCCTTACCTAATATGATCGCCGGTGGAACATCGGCTGACCCAGTGCAGTTCTGCTCCATCTCATGCAGCCAACGTTTGATTGACATGAACGACTGCTTGTTGCTCAAATCGAACACCACTAAGATTCCCTGTGTGCCTCGGTAGTATCTGAAACACAATAGAGAAAGACCAAAGAGTTTTTACATGCACAGCTTTCCAACACTTAATTTCTTCCAATACATAGTACAAGAGAAAAACGTAATATTCCAAAAACAACATTTTTAACATTGTTTTGCTCTTTATACCAAGTTGCAAATCGCCAACTCAAAGATAAAAAAGACTTCCTTCAGAAAACCTAAACTTCTGAATCGAAGATACTCTAAATACCGATCTTATAGAGATAGCCATCAGCCAGTAGAAAAAATGTCAATGAAATTGCGAATCCGTTAGACTTTCAAAGAAAATTTGACTAAACAAATTATTAAAGCGCTTTCAAATTCAAGAATTTTCCAGATTGCCACTTTTCGATAAAAAAAGAACCCAATTTGAGGAAACTTGATCAATAGGTAATTCGTTTTATGCCGCCTGCACTTTTTCTTAGAGACCAAGATTTGCCTTCCATTAAGCAAATGAATCACCTAACACTCAATCCTCCGGCACCACCCGTAATCGTCAGCCAAAGTTACTGATTAACAGTCGTCACTTGCTTTACTTACAGTGCTAAAAACTATGCACAGTTGAACAATTCGAACCATTTTTTTACTCATTCAAAAACTACAATGTTTTAAACCAAAATGATTTTTTATCAAATTGGCTTCATAAAAATCAGAACAAAAAAGAAGATTGAAAAAGAATGAAGCAAGTAAACATAAAAAAACTGATTTCTTGAAAAAATCAACTTTCGAATTTCAAAGAGATGCCCTTTAAACTCTTTGAATTTCTAGAACAATTTATGATTGGCGCTTTTTTGATAATATTGACCCAACTTGAGAGAACTGGATCAATGGGTAAAGTTTTTATTCTGCTGGAAATCTGAAAGCTAAATTCCGCTTTCGAAACTAGAAACCGTTCACGTTTTTTTTTCTCACCATTTCCACGTTCATTTTTGGAGAGAGCTACAGTGCTGATTTAATTTATCCTGAAAAAGTTGAAAAAAAAAAGGATTTTCAAACACGTTTTTCTCAAACTGGAATAAGATTCAACAAGAAGTGAAGAGAACAAAAGTTGCTTAGAATTTCATCAAAAGTAGTATGGTGCAATTTTTTCGCCAAAATTCTCAACCAAAACTTTACCCTAAAAATGGGTCATTTTGGCTTTTTCAACTATTTTGTTCATTGATGAGGAGTATATATCAAAAGAAGCCGCTTACACAGCCTAACAAAGCGGAACCAGTTTAAACCTTGTACTTATAACCAATTATATTACTGATAAAACTACCTCTAAAAATTATTTCTTACTAACCAATCGTGATCCATAACTAACACTGACAATTATTTGTAACGTTGAAACTATTCATAGTTTCAGCAACATTATAATTCGAATTTAACTTAGAAGACAGTTGTTCTCCTTTAGAATAGTTCCAGATATCTAACTCGCAAATACCAGTATACACTAGATCTATTGAGACTAGGTGATATAAGAGTAAGATAAAGATTAGACTAAGAAGTAGCATGAATCTATCCTACCCAAAATAAGATAGCGTGACGAACATACGGTGTACCTTATCTGAAATTACTCTATGAGTGAGCCAACTCGTATTTAAACTCAATCGGTGCGACCAAGAGGCTCGAACAGTACCTCATAACAAACTTAGATTTAGCAAAAACAAAAAAGAACTAATTTCAAAAATAAATAACAAAACGTTAGATAACGAAGACAACTTAATAAGTAAGTCTCTAGGTGTCAATACGTCTACTGCATTATTTTACTTGACACGGTAAACATCATGTCAAAAACCGAACAGCAGACCAAGCTGCTATATCGTGAAAGGACGCAAACTGCAACGATTATCAATGCAGTAAAATTCCAATCTTTAACATGAAATGAAAATTACTTGGAGCAGCAAGATTCATTTCGAAGCCAAATACCTCTCAATGATGTATAACCAAATTATATAACATAATAACGACTAATAAAAAGATACGAATGTCGTTCAATTCAAACAAATCTGCAAAAACTTTAAAACTTTTGTAAACTTAAAATTAATTGATTTAAAAAACACAAAAATTAGTTAGCAGTTAAATTGAAGCGTTTTTATTCAATGTATAAGAAGTTCTTTGCTTCTCAAGGACTCGTATCCCCACCCCTTCTGGCTAATGCTTCTTTGTCCCTTTATCTAAAAGATATCCATAATCATCTAGAAATTAATATCACTTAAATTTCTAATTTTTAATCAACCTTTAATTCATAAATTTTCATTTAACTTAAATCTTCAAAATAAATAATTTCAAGGCCTATCCTTGTTTTGTAATAATCTAAACTTTCCTTAAGACTAGATCATCAAGGCTATCCTTGGAGCAATTAGAACAACTTTGTTCTCCCCACGTCTTAAAAAAAGTGTCTGACGACATCAAACGTCGTTAACTCTCCAAACCTTATCAACGACCCAGAATTAATAGAATTTTTTGAATAACTAGCCATTTTAATTAAGATAAACAGTGAAGAACTTCACTTGAGCCCCTCCTTTTAGTTGACCCAGCCAAAAACATCATAAACTTAGTAAGACCTACAATAAAATCTAACGGTCTACTTGTGTTCTAATTATAACTGATTTAATTTATTATTCTCCAACCCTTGATCACAAATCACAACCCTAAGTAAGATTAAGTAAGTTTTACTTAAAATAAATCGTAGCCACCGAGAAAGTAAAACATCATTCTAACTAACTGATATACTGTATCTCTCTCTCTCCAACCCGTCTACACTCGTCAACATATGCCCCATGGTTAGGATAACCTCACAAAAACCGTAAGAACTAACAGTGTGCTAAATAAAATTTCTAACTCTTGGATTTTTCAACCATCGTCCAAAAATTTATGTCAGGAGATAATTTAGGAAATGAAAAAACAATATACTCCACAATTGTTTAATTCAAAACGAAAGATACGATCTCGTAATTACACCGCACAAACAAAAAATAGGATACATCAGATCGAAAAAACAATCGAGAAAAAAGGCTAAAATGACCGAACAACAACAAAATATTAAAGAAAAACTTTCCAAAACACGAAACGCAGTTTCAGAATCCGATACAACTACAAAAAAGAACCTCAAAATCTTCCAGATTTAATTGACAAAACAGATAAAGCAATTACCGACCAAAAATGTTTTTCCGAATCAGAATCCGTAACGCCATCATCTATGAAAGGTAAATGCAGAAAAAAAAAATTCATAGCTTCGTAAGCCAGGAAGACTCTATAATTGGAATCAACCAAAAGGGCATATAGTAAGTTAGATATTAACTAATTCCAAAAAAATGATTCAATACAACGAGAATTTTGACAATCACTCTCCTTCCCTTTTTCATTCACCCACAAAGCAATCCCGCTAGAGGCCAAGTACAACTTTGCCATAAATTAATTGCAAACTTGTCTCAAAAAGGAAATTGCCCATGGAAGCAAGAACTTCCTGAAATAAAAATCAGTAGACTCGATCATTATCTACCAGGCATCAGTAATATAACTCCACATTACGGCATATTTACTATTGAAATATTACCACCACAATCATCAAATCAAACACCACGACGAAAACAAACAGATGATATAGAATTACAACTCTCAATATATTTCAGATTAAATTTAAAATATTCAACATCAAAACTCACAAAGAGCAAACTCAAATTTCACAAATGATGTTTTTGCTATCATTTATAGCTAGGTATCTATATTAGAATCAAACGAAACATTTTACGTATCACCACCACAAACATCTCGACATGCAAAAGTACGACAAGAAATCAATCTTTTTTCGCAATTTTTAGATACAATTCGTGAAACACTGATTGATAATGAAATCTTACAAATAGTGAAAACCGACCTTCAAGTAAAACTAGCCTGGGTCATAATAGATTATTTCGAACACAAATTAGATTTACTTTCACCAGCAAGAAAAAATTTTCGAGAACAAACTACAAACGATGAAACAGTATTGGTAGACGAAACATTATCTATGGGATCCTGAATGGTCGCATATAATATTTTTAAATAATCCTAACGATATATCAAGTACAGCAAACGCCACAGTTTCTGTACACAAAGATTATTTAAAAGTAACACCACTGACAACTGATACAACACCCTCAAATTATAACACATTATTTAATGATAGGGCAAGCAATAATAGTTTAAATTCAACATTTATGAGTACACAAGAAACCCTTAATGGAACTAGAAGTCTGACACACCAAGAGATTCAAACTCGATCACATTTTATGAACGACGAGTTAGTAGAAATAATACCTAAAACAACAACAGAGCATTTCTCTTATTCACCCAACACTCACAACACTACATAACATAAATACTTCTTTTCATCAAACAACATTCAATCAACAGTAAAACCATAAGTTGTTTCAAAATACTCCCAAATAGATTGTCAAACAAATAGACCAATGACTAAAACACGACAAAACAACAAGCAAAAACAAGCTAACATGAATAAATTTGCAAACCAGAAATATGATTTTTTCACGAATAATAATATTAGCAACTCAACAGGAAAACCTCTTTATACAACACGGAACCAAACTCAAGAAAAAGAATACAGGCAGCAGATACAAAAACCAGGATCTTAATCAGTATTTATTAATGAAAAACGAAAAAGTCCACCGGACCGTACTGAAAATCATCCATTTATTCAACAAAATAAAACTACAACAAACAGACAATTCACAAGAAGTCAACCACACTATTCTGAAGATAAAGATTACTTTAACCGAAACCAATAACAATACAATAAACACCAATGAAAAAAAATGCTATAAATATGACTAATCAGATGATATTTATCAACCAGACATTTTTGATCCTCAAAAAAAATTCAGAAAAAACACATCAAACGCAACAACATTTTTTTGCTTAACAAAAAAATAGAGAACAACCAAGTTTCAACATGAAAACACAAGTCTACCCAAATTCTCAAGGTTTTCAATCAAACTCAGTGCAAAA